GCTGTTTGGTTGTTGTTGAAATGGTTTTGTGAGCTTTAATCTGAGAATCTGGCGTTTCTGGCAAAACACAGTTATATTTAAAAGTTGATTCAGGATTTAATGAATTGATATCACTTTATTCAAGCTACTCACCTCCCACTTGCTACCCGAACAGTTGGTCGCACAGGTGCAACCAAATATTTTTTTTTAGTCGCACCACTGAAAAATTTGGTCGCATTTGTGACCAAATTGGTCGCACTCTAGAGCCCTGTACTAAGGACTACTAATTTAAAAGAATGTCTAACTGTAGCATGTGTGATTTTAAAAATAAGTTCTATTGAGAATATTCTGATTGACAAACATAGGGGTTTTGACATGAAACATGAGAGAAAGTATTCCTATATAATAAAATTAATCACGTTCGAATGATTTTAAAAAGTGCTTCTGCAAATGGATATGAATGTGCAAGCGCTCTGAGTGCTCAGAGTAGAAAAGCACAGTTCATAACTGTCCTTCAACTCATTCATGTCACCTAAAAGTTAAACCTGTTTCTCCATCACCTGTTCTGCTCTGATGATTCAGTAAGGACATCTCCTGGTTTCATCTTCATGTTTCCCTCAAACCGATATCATGACCAGCAGCTTTTACAGCTGTGGCTCCAGCAAACATCAGCTGATACTAGAAAGTAATATTAAATCAATTCAAACAATAGCTGATCAAGCTTAAACGTGCTGCTGTTGTTTAGCACGACATGCGCTGGTTTCCTCTTTCTGGCGCAAAGTGGGAGATAAACAAACGAGAGAGATGGGACTTGTGACAGAAAAGCTGATCATTGATTAGTTTCATGATTGAAGTAGCAACAAGAGAGAGGGGGGGAGAGAATGAGAGAAGAAGAGGCAGCTGACATCATAAAGACACAGAATAACTCCAGCTTTGTGTCTTTTTTCATTCTCGCTAAAGTATGGGACAAATTGCGTTCCTTTTTACCTCAATAGCTTTGGTCAGAGGGCCCGGTGGCGCCAGTGTCCAGCAGCCTTGCATCTGTCAGTGCACCCCAGGGCAGCTGTAGCTACTTTCTCATAATGAATCACTTTGGAAAACACTATCTGACACGATTAAGGTTGTGATTAAGGTTAGTGTTACACCCCACTTAAAAATGAAGTATTATCTGGGGTGGGGGGGGTAACATAAAGGAAACGATAAATTGCCACAAGGTAGATGTCATTAAAAATGATTTATTTCACAGAACTAATCAAGCAAGAACGAACACAGGGAAGCTCTGTTCGTCAGGGTCTCCTGGGCCAAAACAACAAACAAAACATCCCCTTTCTAACTACAAACAAACAGAGAATGCGCTATCAGAAAACTGTTGGGTCTAACACTTAAACCCCGCTGACTCACAGACCAATCACTTGTGTACGAAAGCAAGACCACAACGCTTTTGTCTTTTACTTGCTGCAAGGGGCTCTTGCTTTTTTCCAATTTGATTTTTTTTTTTTAACAGAAAGCTGATTTCAACTCTATATATGTAACATAGCATCATAGATTTCTCAGAATTGGGTTGTTACAAGTATGAACCTTGTGCACAAAATATCC